TTCGCCATGAAGTTTGCGTTCTTCATATGGCCTGAACTCTTGAATCAATTGGAACCACACATTTCAAGACTGTCCGGTGACTGAATCGATAGTCACGATAATCGTATATCTTGTTGTTAATTGTTGTTGTTGTAAACCAGTGAAAAGTTTTCAAAAACATTGTATTGTTTACCGTACTTTACTTTGACCAAATAATCATTGCAGGTCAATCTGAGTTTTGCCGAACAAACTGCAAAATACCCCAAAATCACTCCGTAATCTTGCCTTGTGAAACTTTTAATTGGTAGGTATGATGAAAACAGTAAAGTTTGTTTCTCCAAATTCTCGGAGAAAAAACCGTCCACAGATACCTGCCCATTGCAAATCAGCCCCCCCCCCCCCTAAAACTGAGGGCCTGCCACGCAGGATAATATTACAATGGTTAAAAGCTCTCGTTATCTTTTCCAAAACAATGAAATTCCGCCATTTTTCTTTGATGAGACGGTTAGAAGAATTACAAATTTGTAGGCCATCTGGCGTTATTCTGTACTCATCATAATACATTCGACCTTGGTACATCATTGAGAAGTTGTTCCATACACCGTATTCATCTCAATACTTTATAGTAAAGATAACATTGGCGCATTCGGTCACACATGTTATAAGTTTGCCTTTATATACACCATAATCGTACTTTGTTACCAGGCGAACCCTAAAGCGAACCCTAAAAAGGAGAACTCTAAAGGAGAGCTCTAAAGCATACTGTATTCCCAGCAGTCGATCTTAATGTATCTAATGGGTTTATTGCAGCTTCTATACTGTGCATTCTCGCCAAATATTCCCTATACATATAGTTATATCTTATTCAGTGGAATTATTGCACATTAATAGATCCTCCTGGTTATATACTCTGTTGATGTGGATCTTAACTTTTCTTCGCATACAGTAGGTTTACCGTCTTTCACCGCATAGTCATTTCTTGTGAAATGTTGACCGTCAGGTGCGAAATACACAATCAACTGCTTATTCACTGTGTAATACTTTCGGTTCAACAAACGGCTTCTAATAGGTGTATCGCAACTTTTATTATGCATTGTCTCCTTCACACATTTATTGCGTACGTACTTGCCAATTATTCTCTACATAGTTACCAGTGGAGTTAATCCATGCACTGATAACTATGTAGGGAATAATTGACATTGGAGTTGCAAATCTTTACGCCATCATTCAAAACTCGATACTGAGTATAATAGCACAGTCACCTTGTTCTTATAGAGTATTGAAAAGTTGTTCCAAACTTTGTATTCATCGTATTGAATATAATTGATGATTGAATCTTTACACATTAAAGGATTAGTGTCGGGGTCATGCATTGCGGGCTTTTGTTATTGTTTACATTTTACTCAAATACAACAAATAGCGATAAAAATACCTTGTTTGGCACATTTCTGATAAAAATCAGACAAAAAGAGCAAGGATTACAAAAGGATGGTTTAAATATATGACGGATTGTAAAAACTTTCCAGATCATCTAATCTATTCGTCCCGAAAAATGGCCGCCAGCAGGAGTTTGAGCCCGCGAATTCCTGGTGTGACACTAATCCTTTAATAGATCTTCATTGGAATATTCTGTTGATGCGGGTCTTAACTTTTCTTTGCATATATTGGGTTTGCCGTCTATCACTGCATAGTCATTTCTTGTATTAAACTGTTGATCGTTATGTGCCGAGTAGACAATAAACTGCTTATTCACAGTGCAATACAATAGGTGATAATGATACAGGCTTTCTCGCCATCCTACGTTTTCCTACTTTTCTTCAACTTTCCTACTTTTCCTATTTTTTATTAAAAATTGCTTGAGTTTCCTACTTTTTCTCATAAAATCCTACTTTTTTAAGACAGCTTGGGGAATCAGTATGTTATAGCTCTCTTAATTAGATCTATAGGACTCCTAATTTGCATTCCCTATTTGTGTCCCAGATGATAAGATCTCAGGAAGAGAAGAAGTGTATTTTCCGAGTATAAAATTACATAGCATCTCTAGAATCATAATAAATCAAGCATCATCTGCTCCTGCCACCATAGTGGGTCCAACTAAGAGCTGTGTTATGAATATGAATAAAACAATATTTAAACGTAATATGAATAAAACATCATAACGTAATAAATTTAAATTATTGCACTTACTTGTATAAATCATAAGAGCTTGCATTTACAAGGAATAGCTTCAAACAGGGCGCTTATATATGCTCAGAAACATTGATTAGAACGATTGTTCAAATATGGCGAATAAATTGACAAAACGAAAATATTATATGACGTTCCAACGAAAATAACAGAAAGGATTGCGGGCGCGAGCGGAAGGCGAGGGTAACAGATATTAATAGAAGGGATAAAACACCGGTAATGCGATCGTGTGGTGTGTTTCATAAGTAGCCTGTTCTCTCGGAAAATTCCAAAACGCCTCCTGCCAACTCCAACAACGCCTATATGCGCTTAATTAATGAAAATAAACAATGTTTAGCTATACCGGCTAATATGAAATGTTTAAATGTAGCGACCAACGGTTTTTTTTACATTATTTAGTTTCATTATTATTTAGTCATACATCACGAGAACAGGCTACTTATGGAACACATATCGCGAAAACGGCTAAGAATGTCTACTGTTATAAATCACATAAATTACATTGATCAGTGCTTTCTTGGTAATTACTAGGCTTGCTCATGTAAGAGAACATCTACTGAGCCCTAAAAATACCACAAAAAGCTTAAACGGATAGTCTAGAAGCATTTTAAAAAGTCACGTGATATTTATTTCTTCCCTCGCCTTTTCGCTCGCGCGCCCGCAATCCTTTCTGTTATTTTCGTTGGAACGTCATGTAATATTTTCGTTTTGTCAATTTATTCGCCATATTTGAACAATCGTTCTAATCAATGTTTCTGAGCATATATAAGCGCCCTGTTTGAAGCTATTCGTTGTAAATGCAAGCTCTTATGATTTATGCAAGTAAGTGCAATAATTTAAATTTATTACGTTATGATGTTTTATTCATATTACGTTTAAATATTAATGTTTCATTCATATTCATAACACAGCTCTTAGTTGGACCCCCTGTGCTGCCACGCAGTGGATTGGTGTATGGCGCAGTCAAATACATGCACTCGCATGCATAACGCATTTGAATTGTGTTGCTGCAGAGCACATGCCTTAGCTTTTATACCGATCGATGCAACATTTATTGTCTATATTAATATCTAATTGTAAAAGTTTTGAGAAAAAATCCTCACCAAAACTTCACACAACTTCTCCACCAGATATCTAATGGTCCAGCCCGTACTTCATATATCCTAGGGGGCCAATTTTGTATATTTTTGTGGTATTTCTATCTCCAAAAACTCCTACTTTTGTCCTACTTTTCTACACAAGGATTCCAGAAAGCCTGATGATAGCATTTATACACTTGATGGACCAGGAACTGGTCCCCAATCGCTGCTAATCTTCCTCTTGTTGTTGTTGTTGTTGTTGTTGTTGTTGTTGTTGTTGTTGTTGTTGTTAGGGGGCGACACTCTTTGAAAAAACCCTAAAGCTCCGTCGTCGGAATGAAACTTGACATAATTATTCTAAGCAATATTCCGCATCGATTGACGGTGTTCGATTTTTCATTTTTTACTTTAGAAGCAGAATACAAGCAATCCTTGACTGTATTCGTAGCAAATAATATATGCATATCATGAATATTCAGCAAATATATCGGCAAACGCAAACGATAAGAAAGACATTGTCTTCTCCATTGTTGTGAACACAATTACAATAGTCAAGAATACTTCTCAAGAATGTGAATGACTAATTATAACGATTAATTAGCTTCAACCTTAAAGAGATTTTTGTTGTTTTGATCGATTTGATCCTTCACAATAATCCTTGGCTGTCCATGGCACTCAAATAAATCGAAAAGTTGACAAAAACAAAACAGTAAAAACTGACATTGCCACTCGATTTTGCTGAATGAAAGCTCGTTCTGCGCCCGCGTACAATCTTTTACTAGTCAGCGACGCTTTTAAAATGAGGGGAATTTCTCGAGTTTATACACGAGGCTATTTTCTAACTTTACTTGCATTTTACTCATTGGTTTCATTGGTGACCGATCTTCAAATTTTGACCACGAATTTATTTTGCGATAAATTTTATAAATTTCAATTTTTAAAAACATCTTTAGTGTGGAAATTTCACAATAAAATTTTTGCTTTTAAAAAAATCCTGTTTTTATCATGGTGGTGGTTCAGGGTATGACAGGCGAGAAGATAAAATAGAAATGAAGAAACTGAAAGATGAATTCAATGATAAATTGAATGCTGATGTTTTTCTCGAACAAGATGAAGGCGTCTCTAAACTTGACAGAAAATGCCAAACAAGTTGATGGCCGCGCAAGGCGCGAAAGAAAACTGATTTTTCGATGATGATTTCCCACACTAAAGAATTATTTTAAACTTTCACCATAGTTGCAGAGCATCATTCCCTATTGATATATGAAATAAAAAAGATAGATCACCGACATCGTTTTTGAGATAGCGGCACATTTATGGGTTAAATTGGAAGGCTTTATGCTGTTGTCATGTTGCCATGGGAACACTGACGTTGTCGAAATCTAGTTCGAAATATTCCTTAGGTGACCAATATTGCCACCAACTCGAAAAGAATTCGCGTTCTGCACGAATAAGCCTAGCTGTTTTACGGAATTATTGCGTAAACAAGAATAACTGTAGGGAGCCTCCTTAATGTTGAAACAATGTTTGGAAAATATAGGCGAGGGGTTGTTGCTCTCTCTTCCGCAGAGGCTTTAGTTTTCTTAGGATTTAATATTATGAGATACATTTCACTACACTTTACATGGCGGATCTTGGAACACGAGCGTAACCGCTGGGCGAAGGAGCGCAGAGGGGTTGTTGCATGCATGTATTTCTAATAGTAAAGGTAAAATTGGCGCAGTTGGTTGAGTCCACCTTACTTTCTGAGATCGCATCAATTTCACGTCGACGTCTGCCCCGGAGATGTTGGGTTGAGAGTGAAGCGAACGTTTCTCTTTTGGTTGTTCCTCTCAAGTCATTCTGGTGAAAAGAGGTGAGATTATTTATAAAAGGTCATCAAGTTTAGATTAGAGTTAGGGTTAGAGGTTAGAGGTTAGGATTAGGGTTAGAATTAGGGTTAGGATTAGTGTTTGGATTGGGGTTAGGATTAGTATTTGGATTGGGGTTATTGTAATTGTAAACCATTACGTATACAACCCAGTACTTTATTGCATACAATTGCTTTACAACTACAATAAATTGTTGGTTACAACGATGCGGAACGGCTACAATATTTGCATAGCGGGACTGAATCGTCGGGCTAGCTACACCACTGTCCGGCGAACATTCTCATTTAAAAATTTACCTTTTCTAACCATCATCGAAAAATCAGTTTTCTTTCGCGCCTTGCGCGGCCATCAACTTGTTTGGCATTTTCTGTCAAGTTTAGAGACGCCTTCATCTTGTTCGAGAAAAACATCAGCATTCAATTTATCATTGAATTCATCTTTCAGTTTCTTCATTTCTATTTTATCTTCTCGCCTGTCATACCCTGAACCACCACCATGATAAAAGCAGGCGAAAATCAGACAGAAGCAAACGTAAACGACTCGACACAAGAGTCGAAAGCTGACGTAACGACCCATGTTGCAACTGCAAGCGTCGTCAAGCAACTGGGTATTATTTTGGCAAAACAGGAAGTTTAAAACGTTTTCAAGTTTGCATTTTATGACGTCACCAGCTGTTCTACTTATCACACACTCGAAACGCAAGTTCAAGTTGTGTGCAAGAAATACTGATTCATTATAAACATTTAATATTTCACGTCAAGGCTGATCGCAGGTTAGGGAAGGAAGTAAGGCGCAACAATGCATGCACGTAAAACTGGAATTTTCCTTTTTTCTGATGTGAATTAATTTTGCGGCAGGAAATGGCGGGACTGAGTTTATCCCGCGGCTTAAGTGGCGGCGCTTTATCCTGCCGCTTAAGTGGCGCTTAACTCTCGCCATAAGTGGCGGCACAACTAGAAGTGCGCGGCTTGTAACTGGAAGTACGGCTGATACTGGCGTGATAGTTCAGAGCGCGGCTGGAAAAAAGAAGCAGCTCGAGAGACATGGCCCTTCTGAGTCACCGTATGCATGGCGTTCGCAATTATTACTATTACTATTGAAACGTTTCACAATCAGTAGCTGAAAGCTAAATTACAATGTAAATTAACAATTATATGCTATTAGATCGACTGATACAAAATGTTCATATTACAGGTAAATTTATAATACAACTATAGCTAACTACTTTCTATTTCAGTACAACAATAAAAATACAGTGGTAAAAATTACTACAACTATTAGAACTGTGCCATTAAAAGGGCATAAAAGTATATATAAGATCAGTCCATTGACAAATTATAACAGCCAACAGATGTTGAGCAATTCGCATTCGTCTTTTTGAGGTAGTAAATTTTTGATCGTGGAGGTTGCGTGGGATACGCGTTTTTTACGTTCGTCCCGCGATTGTTTTCCGCTGAGAGTCTGACCGCGTCTGTTCCCTGCTAGCAGAGGTCTCTATTTGTGCTGGGAAATGAAGGAGAAGAGACCTCTGCCTATATCTGACACGTTTTCTGTCGCGCATGTGCACAAATTGCCATGACAATGTTCACCACGTGATATCAAACCGGTTTTTGCGGGAGCAACTTGGTAATTCAAAGACTTATCGAAGGCAAACAAATGTATCTCGGCCCGATAAAACAGAAAAGATTGCTTTCTTTTGTTCTTCTGTCACTGCTTTCACAGTTTCATCTTTGAAAATATCAATTACATATCTCAGAGCACTTTCAAACAGACAAACAACATGAAAAACCTCGAAATGAGTATGACCATGCTGTGCAAGTCGCCATTTTGACAATACGGGCTCAATGTCATTACAGCGTAATTCAGCTCTGAGCATGCGTACTATTTGTTTCTCTAAACCGGTTTCAGAACTTGCTTTACAAACTGGTTTGACTCGTCCACGATCATGGACTGAGGAAGTGTCAGATCTAGGCAGAGGTCTCTTCTCCTTCGCTTCCCAGCACAAATAGAGACTTCTGGCAGCAGGGAAGACCGTCTGCCACGCGCAATCATATTTCCCATCATGTACTGCCGATTGTTTTAACTATTAATTTATTCAACACTTCTGGTTTTGTGCGTTATAACTAGCCGCTATACATACACGTATAAGTTAATTTAATAGTTATAGTATTAGATGGAAATGATTAGTTAAAATCAGTGCAAAACCTTCTATATACACACTATACACATTGAATATCCATATATCAATTTAGTGCCGTGACTGGTATAAAACCGGTTTAACTGCAGTTGTTTGTGCAATTCTGAAAATTATAAAAAAAGACGTTCACAGACTTGAATTTACCCCATTCGCGGGCCTGCTGTTCCAGAACAGTATGACGTGTGCGCACTCCAATACATATCGTTTGTCTGGATTTTCCAGAACAGCAGGGGACATATCCAATATTTCTAAGCACAACACAGGCCCTTGAAACATGTGCCACCAAGACAGAGTTGTTGACAGAAAATGTCCTACACAATTGTTCGTCAGTTCAAATGCAAAAATATTGCTTCGAGTGTTGAGTGCACCTTCCCTATTTTTTGCTCAGTTCTGCCGTATACAATCGGACGACAAAATGATGCTGAGAATTTTTACCGAACATGCACTTCAGTTTTGCTTATGTAAAATAAAACAAATTATAAAATACGTTTTCTTTTATACGCCTTATGTTTAAACTGCAAATGTAGTAGACCATTTAGACAATCTCTAGATGGTACCATGCAATGCAGCTGTTAGAAATTTTGAAGGTATACCCTGGAGTACTGAATAGACTTTATATACTGTTCATTGCACTTTTTCCTCAATGGCTTCGTCTCTATGGCATGCAGAACTGCACATAAAGGTTGCACCCAATCTTTCGTGCGCAGTACGTTTTACTATAGTCTTTGCTCTTAATCCCAATCACAAGCCTATCTTTAAGGCTCTTTTCCAGTCATTGCAAAACTCGCAAATCAACCTCGTAATTGCCGTCGTACTTTCATCCAATCACAATGCTCAACACTTTATTTTAATTAGTTGCAAACACTCGCAGCGAGCTTGCGAGTTGGTTTCAGTTTGTGATGAGTGGAAAAGAGCCGGTTAAATTAAAAAGCCATATACAGGGTGTATAAAAAAAAACTGAACAGATTTGAAATTGCTCTCAGTTTCGCAAAACAGCTATTAGTATCCAGTTTTTGATATATATAGTTTCTTTGGGTACTTATAATGTAGAATAATAAAAAAATTCTCGAACTCAAATTTTGTAAACCAGGGGTGTGTCTTTTCCAACAAACTAAAACCCCCCGGGCACACGAAGTTGTTTCAACGTTGAAATTTGGTAGAAAAAAGGTTGCGACGTCGACAACCTAATATCTACGTTGCTCTGACGTTGTTTTACAAACATTGGTTCAACAGCAGCCAACAGACGTTGAATTAACGTTCATTCATGGTTAAATGTACGACGTCGATTTGTGAACCATCAGTCAACGTTGTTTTAACGTGGATTCAACGTTGAATTATGGTTGACGAGATTGGCAACCTAATTTCAACGTTGTTTCAACGTCGAAACAGTAACGTCGATCCAATTTGCATAGTCAACCCTTTTTCAACGTCTATCCAACGTCTGGAAGGTCATTTCCAACGTTGATTCAACGTTGGATAAACGTCATTTTGCCCGCTGGGAAATGGCTTGCACACGAAATTTAATGTTGAGTTGATAGATGGAAAATTTGTTGGGTTTTTAATTACTGTACAAAATTTCAGACAATTTGTTTACTAAGTTTAACTACTCATTTTTCTCTAAAAAATTAGCCTTTCGCATGCTTGATTAATGCCTTTATCTAATTTGCATATTGCTGACATATGCAAATTAGTGATGCAAATAGCTGATTTTCTAATTAAACTAAAGCAAATTGTCTGAAATTTTGTACAGTAATTAAAAACCCAACAAATTTTCCATCTATTAACTTAAAATATGATTAAAGCTTTTAAATTTCGTGCGCAAGCCATTTTTAATTTGTTGGAAAAAAACCCCCTGGTTCACAAAATTTGAGTTCGAGAAATTTTTCATTTTTCTACATTATAAGTACCCAAAGAAACTATATAGCTACATCAAAAACTGGATACTAGTAGCTGTTTTTCGAAATTAAGAGCAATTTCAGATCTGTTCAGTTTTTTTTTGTACACGTACCCTGTCAGTATTGATTATTGTGCACGAAACACGAGGAAATTGGAGAATGCAAAATAAACGAATGCAAACAAGAATGCAATTATGCACTGCATGAATAGTACAGTCTAATTCGAAACACATTGATTATTGTTATTTAGTATTTTTGCACAAGTGAACATAACAAATACAAGTTGATTGGTCAAATTTGACGTTTTAAGCTGTTATACTTACATTCATTCACCTACAGGTGAATCACAAAACCGAAATTTTCAAAATGGCGGCTAGCCGTTTTGTGGAAGTTTATACTGATAAAGAAATAAGCGAAATTAAAACAAATTCATGCCCCAAAACACAAATTCGTCTCGGCGAATATTCCCCGATAATCACGATTGAATATAATGCAACAAGTCCATCGGAATCAGTTCAAATAATATATTAATATACGAATAATTTCATTAGGCGTTATTTACTGAACTGCTATTAAACAGATATACATCATTTGTATTCTTTTTCACATTTTAATTAAATCTAATTATAATTAGAATGAAAGTGAATAGAATAAATGCTAAAATATACAAAACAATTTTCTTTGATTTAAATGCAATCATTGTCTAAGATATCTGCCGAAAGCCTTAACTCTTAAGCCAAACTCAAATTTCAGTTAAGCCTTGTTAGGCCTAATTCAAACATCGAATTAAATTTTTCATGTGCCGACTGCTGAACCGTAAATAACTCAACCAAGGAGTTTCTACAATTTACATTAGGATCGGCATATGGTGAGCGATGTTTGCATTAGGTCTGGATTTCCATTTGCAAGAATTAATTACCTGTAATAGGACCCATATTGATCGCTTACTCTCAAGAAAAAATATTAACGTCCCCCTCTCTTGACGTTTTAACATGCATATCCTCAATAATCCAAGATGGCGAACAGCTCACTTTTTTCAGTTGAAATAATTTGAAAACTAAGCAAGATATAAACAATCTATAATAGAGTTTAATATATAGTTTTAAGAGTTCTTTCAAATGAACTGAACTAATTTTTCACTGCCAATGTCCTTTAATTGAATTAAGCGAAATGAAATCTCAAATATTTACAATTTATATATGCTAAAAGTTTTTTCAAAATTTTCATTGTCTGTCCTCCTTGGTGAAAGCCTTTAAACTAATTAAGTAAGAGTTAATTACCGAGAAGGAGGGCTTAATGCTATATACAGCCCCGAGAACGCGAAGCGTTCGAGGGCTTTATATAGCATAAAGCCCGACATTCGAGGTAATTAACTGACTTATTTCATGATTGAAGAAGTTTTCTAACAAAGTTTTATTCTTTTTTTTCGATTTCGACAAGTATTTTTCTAGTTTTCTCGCTTATTTCTTGACTAATTAGGGCTGTATGGTATTCAAGGGCATTATGCTATATACAGCCCGCGGTACATCAAAGAAAACCGAGTCAATCATGAAATAATCCTAATTAACATTGTAGTCCACCAAGATATGGTCTGACTCTGGTAGCTTGGCTAAACTTATTGTTCATGTTCATACAGATTAATAGTGTACGGCCAGTCGAGATTGAAAACAATTACTTTTTGGCATAACGAAGCAATGATCACCTCGCGATTCACTCAACCGTATTGTCGATCGAAATATTATCAAATAAGCAAAATTTTGAACATTTTGTACACGATCAAGCCTCGGATGAAGCCGTCTGAACATAAAATCGTAGGTCGTATATATAAAGGATTTTGAAATTTACCGAAATTCCAGATCATAATTCCCAATCAAACAAGGATGAGAGTTGATAAGAGTTGGCAGCCACGCATTGTTGCAAGAGTTAACAAAATACAGGTTTAGTGAGTGTTCTAACTACGTTTTAACTTCAATAACTGAATAAAATACATCAGTGTGTTGGAAAAACATTAATAAGAACAGGTCCCATGACTGCCAAATCTCGTGCAGTGACAGCACTCTCATCGGGTCTAAATCAAATCTTATATGCAAGCCCTGCTTTTCAATAAAAATCATTGCGGTTAGCCGGGTCATCAGACATTGACTGAAATCTCAACTGGTTATCAGCGATCACTATCAATTAATTTAATCAGTTCCTAAATATTCATGCACATATGGTAGCAAAATAATCAAAAATCAATTTTATTACTAGTGTTCTTTTTGAAAACATTGCAACACTCACGTTTTCTGTTTATCAAACGTCGTAGCGGTTGGAAATCAAAACAGCTCAACCGCGGGTTGTCAACTACGTCTAGGTCAATTAAATCATTCATAAACACATGAATTCCTAAATGTTCACAGATGGTGTTTACGAAACATTGTTTCGCAAAATCATGCAATCCTGGCAACATTTCAAATTAAACGTCTTGAGCAGTTTCACATGACGTGCGTTGACCGGACATTTTTCGGAATTTTCTGCACGAATTTCTGAACCAATACGGGATGAGAAATCGGGATTCGCCAACCGTATCCATAAAAACACCAATCTTTGAAGGATTTGCGTTATTGTTTTCATCACCAAGGTTTAAGTTGAATTTTATCTCTTGTTTTTCATGTCTTACGAAGCTGCTATCCTTGTTTGAAAGTCGCACTGTAACAGTCTGTTGCCGTTGGGAAGATTTCCTACTCTGCCTTTGATCCGCTTTGTTTTTCAATTGTAAGAATTCAGTACCAGAGTTCAGAAGCTTTTCTGATTCAGGGGAGTTCTTTCCAAATTTTTGTAGTGAATCACATTCGCCATCGTTATCGTCTAAGCCGGCCGGGGCTATTTCATCATTTTTCGCTTCTCGAAGCTGCCCATTTGCTTTTGTGGAACTCGCATTCGGGGTGGAGTTACTCAAGGACTCAAGCGTTTCTTCATCGGCTGTCGATCCGGAATTTAAACTATCATTTTCCATCCTTTTAAAACCGAGTTGAAAAGCGCTTCTGGTGAAATGATAAAATTCGGCTGCCCGTGTTGTGGTTTTGCAGTAGAAGACAAAAGCCTTATACAAAGGGTCATTATAGTCTTTCGCTAGGAGGACGCAGGTTTTGGAATAAGGAGCTTGGTTTAGGCATGCTGTCACATCTTTTACATAAACCAAGGGGAAAGTTAGTAATATTTCATCTTCAGTTTCGTTGAAAATGTTTATCTTTTCAGCGTCTACGAATACAACCACCGTCCGAGCTTTGCTGGGCTTGGTATTTCTCTCCGCATATAACGTATGGATATCATGTATCACGTTCGCCATTTCATGGTCAGTGCCTCCAAATTTGAGCTCTTCACCACAGCCCAAATATTGCATCTTGAATTTAAATCCAGCCAAGATTTCCTCATCTTGAAACCGGACTGAACTTTTAAAATTTTGTTTCATGTTTTGATCCGACTGCACTTCAGGCGATGTTTCCTACACAAAGACAAGGGAATTAATGATTTAATAAGAACTCTCAGAGGACAAAGTCCTAATTGTGTTAAAGCCAATTACAAACAGCCACAATACCTGTCTATCAGGTTTTGACTTGACTAGTCTTGCGAAAGTATTAATAATACCCAAGAAATGCATATTTAACCCAAGCTACAGTAAACAGATCCACAGATATGTTCAATATAATTTCCACACATGGGATTTCTGAACCTTTTCAAAACATGTATGTTTACCACGGCATGCCACCTATATAATTGCTTTGTCCGCCACAATACTGACCCAAGGTGACCTGAAATTCTATCGATAATTTTAAACATCTGGATGCCGTCTTTATGGAATGCATGAAATTGAAAACAATAAATATTACCTAAAATCTGTGGTGTGTGTGATGTATTTTTGCTTGTACATTCGTGTTCGCGTGAGAGGATATTGTCTTAACGCTTAATCAAAATGCAGATTATCGAATTCCTTGACAGCTTTGTGCTTCAAATATCTCCGGGTAACACCAGAGACCAGAACTCATGAACGAGTTTGGAACGGAACCCAATTCGTCCATGCATCTACTAAATGTATTGGTTAATAAAAAAATAAAAAAATCCGCCCGCCCGCACGGATTTTTTTGTTACCACTTGATGATCGATAAACCGGGGTATTTTTTACATAGCCTAATAATACCGCCTTGTAAAGCCGATTACAGACAAGCAAGTTTTCTATGACAAGTTTTCATACGACATTCAAGATCTATTTGCTCGTCTCGTAGTCAACTATACCAAGTTTTTCTATGACATGTTTTCTAGCCCAAAAGTTTAAAGCTCTAGCTTTTGAACGAGGGCACTTGTCATAGAGAAAATTGGCAAAGTTCAACGGACTTTTCTCGTCTGTATGGCCGGTCAACAAGGAAACTTTGACAAAGTATTTTGACCACTTTGGCTTTCAGCGATCTCTATTCTGTGAATTGGAGATGGTTGGACGGTGATATATAGTCGTAAATCGTAATGGTATAATGTTGCGACTAGAAACCCACCAAAAACACGTCATATAGAAAACTTGCTTCACTGCATGTGACTGATTTAATAACAGATAAAAGAAGATATACAGCTATTTCAATTAAGGTTGTCCCCGAGCAAAGCGGAAAAGTCGAATACGAGCTCGTATTCGACTTTTCCGCTTTGGTCGGGGGACAACCTTAATTGAAATAGCTGTATAATAGAACTATAGAAGTATGACAAGACACCGCTGAGATTATTATTTATTATGTATATCTTAATTTATGAATAAGATGGAGTCTGATGGACTGTATTCGCAATGCATTATATTGGCGGTTGTAGCATATATAAAACCTGAGAGTTTTATTATACACATCCGTATGCACTTATAGCTACAATCTTTGACAATATAGATTGGGACAATCTAGTTTTCACATGCATTCGGTTGTAATATTAATATACCATTTCAGTCGTGATACACTTTTCCACCCTCCCTCCCCCCACCCGTTTCAATGTTGGAGTCTCGCAACCAGACATCAGATTTTTGTTGGCCCAAGATTGAACTGGGGGAACGGGGGGGAATGGGCGCTACGCCTTTCAATTTATATGAATTACAGCACCTGTCTCATAGTTTCTGGCAAAGATTGTAGTTTAATTAATATATATTCAAGCTGCGAGTGCGCGCGTTGACGGGTCCGTCATAGACTTTCGCAAAGTCCTTCGTCTTTGTTTAGAACGAAGAAGTAATTTCTTGAAGAGTAAGGAATTTGCGGCGACTTCACGACTAGGTGACTTGCAGCAAATCTAGATCCGTCAAGGCAGAAACTCGTACACTCGACTTGGAAATCAGGTTCAGAAATCAGGAACTTGCAATCAGCTGGAAATCATGCGATGATTTCGAAATCAGGATTCACAAAAATGCTAGCAAAATATTTGAATATTGGGACTGTGGGAACGAAATCCTTTTAGTTGGGGTTTTCTAACGATATTAGTCATGATTCTGAGATTCTCACAATATTCAGATTTCATGTTCAAATTTCTCCAAAGTTTGAGTATAAATGGTACTAAATACATTATAGGGAGTCAAGGGAGCGCGACAACGCGAAGACGACTTCTGACAATACAATGACATTTAATTAAAAGCCTATAGTAAGGAAGTCATGTCGTTCAAGCTTCTGTTGACAACGGCAAAATGCATATTTTCACGTCTCGAATATTTCGCCGGCCGATTTCAAGCCATGATCGACAGGTAATTTTTCTAACAACGGCAATAAAATTTGCTCTGAAGAGTAAAAGCTCTGTTTTAACCATTCGAAACTGTATCTGTATTGAAATCATACGAAAGTAAATACAAGACAAATACATTTATTTTAAAAAGTTTGTTTAGCCGTCGTCCTGACGTCGCCGTATTATCCATGCGTAAACTCCCTATTAATACAAACTTTATACAATATACCAAGTTTACCATGCAACTGACTGCTGTAACTGATATCTTCAAGGAATGATGAACTCAGCAGAAATCAGGAAATCAGCCTCGGAAATCAAGTTATTTGATAAAGGTATCGTATTTGTGTCATCAGGTGATCAGCGGCTTCATAACATGATCCAAGACAATCTGATGTTAGATAATGAAGTATTCAACAAAAAATCCGTCTTCCAATTCTGTCTTGTGATATACCGAAAACACAAGTAACAAACCTTCAGATAGACAAAGGGCCTTCGCACGAAATGTTGATGCTGACTTAATCTCTTTCACGCTCAAAATGAAGGCAGTTACCAGTTGTATATATGCAGATTTTGGCAGCATTTGTACAAAACAGGTATAGACAAGATTGTATATAGATTCGCAGGGGCGAATTAGCCCTTGTGACGTCATTGAAGTAAGTTTTCTTAGCCGTCTGCTCTTATCGTCAGTGGTTTAATTTGATATAGCAGTAAAGAATAATGCTAGCTAGTTAACTACACATGGTATATTAATGGTAACACTGTCTTTAGAAATTGTCTGAGTGACCGTTGTTTTTGAAAATCGAACGGTAATATCGCGGAATTTCACTCTGGTTTGACTCGAATTTTGAGTCACGACACTGTTACTGTATAATGTGTAGTTGCAAATTCTTACCATCGTAATTCTTGATAATCAAAAGTTGCGAAATATTGCCAAGGGGCCCTCAATTGTTCACCCGGTAGCCCGGTGTGCTAATGCTCTCCCAACGCGTGACCAAAGCAGAGATCTAGAATTGTCTATTGACACCACAGTAATTATACGGGTCACCCTGGACTAAATGAAAACCACTAAAGTGACTAGACTTTATGACTGAACGACGCTCGGCTCAGAAGTCGTCATCTGAAGAGAATCATAAGACTCCCTAGCTGATATATGACACTAATAGAGTTAGTACACATGCACGGTTTAATATCTGTACCATTGACGTTGTTGGCAGGGAAAATTAATCCGACCGGCAACATTGGCCGTTGCCTTGAAATATATGGCGACATATGGAGAATGAAATAGCCACATTGGACACGAACTCTGTCTAAATTGTGACAGCGACATGGAAAAGGAGTAAAGGATGAAAACAATAACGAAATTCCGAAAACGACATAACAATGTTTTTGAAGCGTCGACGTTATCAGACAATAGATGACATAGATAGCCGACGTTAGCTAGGACGTCAGGGCTAAGCAGAGGACTGGGACTACATCAGGACGACATCCTAGTCCCAGTCCTCTACATAGCCCTGACGTCCTAGCTGATATCGACGTCGTAGATCTTAAGCTATCTAATGGCTTCCTATAACAATGAACACATTATCTATTCTTATCATAGATATATTATACTAGATAGTGCATCTATAATTATTCTGCAATTCAAAAATCGAAGCCGTGATTGCAGTCTCAGGTCGTTCCCTGCATGAAATGAGAGAAGATTCGTATATATATATATTTTCTATTTTTTAAACAGGGAACTTAAATATTAATTTAACCCTATTCCAAATATATTTTTAAAGTATTCAAATGCTGAAAGTTATTGTTGTTTTTAAATGTTTATTAGCGAGTGGGAATGACCAACATGACCGCCATCTATTCAAATGGGGGTAACCGCTGGAATATTCTTGGCTTCAATTTTACTAAAAGAGATACGCTATCTAGTGTATATAAGATATCTATGTCTATGATTCTTATACACCAGACATTCGTGTTTATCAGAGGCATTTGAAATTTTTTAAGCCGGTTGCATGCAGGTTGTTGAGCAAATTTTAATGACAAGTTTTAATGACAAGATTTATTTGCTCATCTGCATGGGCAACTTTGCCAATTTTTACTATGACAAGTACACTTGTTCAAATATCCTTTTGTGTAAATATTCTTAAATGCTTGTGATGTTACTCTGAGTGTATATCCACACCGGGCAAGCTTGAAGAGTGTATATCCACACCGGGCAAGCCTGAGTACATTACACAAACACAGAAAAATCATGGATATTCTTAAATGTCCTTAGTAAATGTCCTTTAGTTCAAATTATTTTTGTCAATTTGTGGCATCTCACTCGAATGAACAATATTTGATGGGCATTGTGGATGAAAATTGTCGAGTGAAAATTTATATATGTATAGTACATGTATTAGACCTACTCAGGAGTCAGGTCTCAGGAACAGAAGCGAAAAATGCAGCCATAGGTCCCAGGCAGGAATTGAACCCGCGGCCCTGCGATTCCCGTGCAGCGCTCTAACCAACTGATCATGAGCTACACAGGCCAGTTGTCGAGCTCTAACCACAAATTCATGTATATATACTAGAGTACTGTCATGTATAGGTTATGGGGACTAATATCAAGATTTTTGTGGCATCTCACTCGAATGAAAAATATTTGATGGAAATAACTATATATTGACTATTGTGGATGGAAAATGTCGAGTGGAAATTTATATAGTACATTTATTAGACCTAACCAGAAACAGCTGCGAAAAATGCAACCTTAGCTCCCTGGCAGGAATTCACTGAACCTGCGATTCCAGTGCTCTAACCAACTGAGCTACAGAGGCCATTAGGCCATATTTTGAACAAGTGCACTTGTCATAGAAAAAATTGGCAAAGTACAAATTTTGCCATCTGTGTGGACAAACCCGAGAAAATGTGTTTTTTTATTTATTTAGCTATGCCAACTAGGGCAGGGTCACCACAACAGCATATGCTGGTTTACCTCACCCACCCTGTCAACTTTCCCTGTGGGAGGAAACCGGAGTACCTGGAGGAAACCCACGACTTTCGGCAGAGTGTTGACTTTTTACTCTTTTCACATGAGGACTGGTTTCGAGTCACATTGAGAAAGTTCTCACTGAGGCTTGAACCTGCGGCCTTAGAGGTGAAAGACATGCAAGTGCGCTAACCAGTTGGCCACCGAAGCCCCACAAATGTGACAAATAATCTGGAGCACTTGGGTGCAGTTGTTCAGCGATCTATTGTCGTAATAGCTACAGTAATAAATAGCTATGGAATACCTATCGTAGCGGTCAGAAAACCAAAAACTTGTCATAGAAAATTTGTTGTACGGACAGACGTACAATTAGCAAATATACGTACGTACCATTTGAAAACTTGTCATAGAAAACTTGCTTCCCTGCGACCGGCTTTCGGTAATAAATGCGTTTCTTTATACCGGAGCAGGGGCGGATGCAGCCAAAAATCTGACCGTAGCATTTTCCAAGACCTCGCATAGCTAGGGGGGTCCGGGGGCATGCCCCCCCGGAAAATTTTTGAAATTTGAAGCCCGGAAATGCCATTTCCTGCGTTCTGAGCACTGCATGTGACCATTAAATTTGCCCTCATTGTATTCATTTCTCAAGCAAAAATAAGCCGAAATGATTTCAAAATGTAAACTATTGCTCGCGTATATTTTAACATACGATATCGGTATGATACTCGTATCATACGCATATCATTATCAATTGAATACCGAAATGCGCGTATCATCTACGAACGCGTGTATCATACGAATACGCATATCATATGAACGCGCGTATTATGATATGAATACGCGTATCTTACGAATATATAGTACGCATTACAAACAAATATTAGCGCGCTATAAAACACGATATATATACGCGCGTATCATAATATAATTCGCGTATTAATTTCAATACATGCAGGTATACTGTACATACGCGCACAAACACTTTAATAAAGCGAAGTTAATAGCGAACACTATACAGTAAAAACTCAAATTAAAATATAATGTGCATCTCTTATCATTCATAAGGCTTACCTGACTGGAAATGATTCGTTTTACTATCTGATTTTATTTCTACCTCGACGCATATAAATCCTTTAGCTTTACGACGGCTTTCATTTCGAAATGCGCACAACCGTACTGTGGGTTCCCAATAGCATGTTGTTGATGAGCCAAACACAAATATCAGATATTCCATCGTTCTGGAGCAGTAGCCAATTTCATGCCACCGTAGCAAACTATAGCATTTGCCCCATTCCGATTGGTTTGCTACGTTTGACCGTAGCAAACCAATCAGAATGCCGTATATGCCAATTTTCGCTACGGTCAGATTCGACCTTAATGAATCTGACCGTAGCGAAAATTGATCATATATGGGCAGCACGCTACGGTGTATTTCTGAAGGATGATATTTTCTAAGCTATAGTCCATTGCGTAATGACCCGCAAACGGGCAATTACAACCGTATTTTCGGGCGGGAATTCTTAAAACAATTAACGTTACGTATTATAAATGTCACCAATTTGTCAAAATAAAATGTTTTAGAACATATAAAACGAAATAAAATAAAACCTTGAAATATAAACAAGGAAAGTAAACAAAATATTGCTAAATTATATTTTAGATTGATTTTATGATCCATGTTAGAACTGGCCTATGGAAAATCTGACCGTAGCATATGCTACAGTTGCAACGGTCTAAATCCGCCCCTGCCGGAGTACATAATAGCTTCTCAAACAAAATTGAATATAAAGAGAAATTCCAGGGACTGCTGAGCTAGAGGTTGGCCAGGTGGGGGCTGGGCATGTACCTTGCTCCCTACTTTTCACTGAGTAAAAGAAAAAAGGAAATTGATAATTGATATATACTGTAATATGGTTAAAATAATCTGACTACAATAGGCTTCGTTCATCCTCGTGTCCCTCCACACGCACATACACACTTCCAAACACATTCCGTGGTGTGTGGTTTGAGGGAATTATTAATGAATTCGAAAAGTTGATGAGTCAGCTACTACGTTCCCTAACTGAACTTGCGAATTGACGAGTGTTTATACATGCGACTTTTGATCTTCAGGATCATTTCTGAAGAGACTGATTCCAAGTATTTTGATAATCTGGAAAATGTATATAACTTGGTTTATTCTCAGGTTATATTACCTGCCTACTAAGTTCCAACTGATATTCGTTATAGGATTGTAGTCAGTCGTCTAACTTAATGCAACCTCTTCAGTTCAACTTTCTTCAGTGTCATTTAATAGCCGTCCATATATATATATATTTTTATATATTTATAATATAGCATTTGGAAATCCTGAACGCTGATTGGCTATTAAGAGCAATGTTGATATAACTCAATGTCAACACGGAAAATTTCAACCCAAATGGCCCTGGGGACGAGGTTGGGAAAATTTCTTTCTTTATATTTCTTTGTGCTATATTATAAAACAAGTAAAACAAATATAAAACATTTTTCCATATTGATATACAGTTATCAACACTCGTGGAAATTGCCAATTGGGAAAACTCTAAATTCGGTGTTCCCATGCAATTTCCACTCGTGTTGATATAGCACTCTGTATATATTATGCTTGTGATGTTACTCTGAGTGTATATCCACACCGGGCAAGCTTGAAAAATATGCCTGCATGACCACGGTGGGAATTACACCAACACAGAAAAATCATTATAAACTGTATATTATTATAAAATACTTTATTAGCAAGACCATAATTAATAATGACCATATATCAACACGGAAAATGTTTTATATTTGTTAAATATCACAATTCACAAACGACTGAAGCTATATAAACCTCTATATCGAACTCTGCATGCCTTTTGTGTTGGTACTGGCAGTAGTCGTATTCCTATACTGTTTTTGTCCGATTATTTTGAATTTTTTTATACTTTTCTATCAGACAATAAACTATATGGTTCTATCATTCTATATCTAAGCACAAGTTTCATAGTGGTAGGTTTCATAACTTTCATATCATACAGTAATAATTGCTGTGGTGTCAATAGACAATATATTTCAATGTTATCTTTATAATTATTTCAAGGGCACGAATTCCTATCCTTCCGTTTTTATATTAGCTTAATCTATGAAAAGGAAAACCAGCCTAAATTTTGCACTTTTAGCAACGTCAGCAAAATGTATTAACTATACCCTTGATAAATAAAAGCAAAGGCGAAAGAAAGAAAATTAAAATTAGTTTGGAAACGACTGCAAATGTTTTTCGTGACATCCCCGCGGTCATTATATTATATAAGCGCTTAATTTTAGCCGACCTTTGGCATGTAGGACGGTCAAAACAAACTCCTTCAAATAAATACTTTAACTAAGGAAATCATGTGATGTTGTATGAATTTTATGCAATCAGTTTTAGGAGATTAAGACAGCGGTTTATGAATGACAGAATCAAAATACTTGTACTAAGCTAATTCGGTCGAGTACCATGCATGATGCACTTCTTGCTGCTTGAAACGCAGGCGTTGTATAGAAGACGTAAAAATCTTTGGTTTGTGTCATTGTATAAAACTGAGCGAAGACGAGATTTAAAACGTCCGAGAGGCTTATTCATTTCTTTTATAAATATCATTGTATTAATGGAGTCGCCATCTTCATAGCTAATTAAAGGAGAGTGCGTGTAAATTATACCTCAATCAGTTTCAGGAAACAATATTGTATACCTGTATCCAACCAAGGTGACACTATGACCTACTTTGAAATTTGAATCGAGTACGTGTTATTCTGAAAGTAACATACCATGCATTTTTAAAGTGTTTTGTGTTGAAAGGCATGCAAAACCGCAATGTTGCTGTCTGGACATGTATTTTGTGATAAAACATTCGTGACTGGTAAACCCCAAATGTCAATTTATGCCTTCCGGCGAAATATCACTGGTACCCACTAAAACTTGGAATTAGAATTTCTCATAGCTCTGGAACACCGGAATATCGTTACTGACTATCATTTATTTTATTTTATTTTATTTTATTTTATTTTATTTTATTTTATTTTATTTTATAAGATTCGCCGCACCAAACAAATATTAAACTTATTCAAATATCTACGAGTGCATTGGCTGGGACTAACCACAGAGATAAACTCCAATAACGGGGTCCCGACAAAAAAGACAAATTACTATACATGCACAAAAACATTAATTGGCTTTCGCCAAACTGTCAACAACATGATCTGAAAGATAAATTTTGAATAGAACGAGTAGAGTGGCATTTGACGCACACCGATTTAAGGGGCGAGCCATTTGACTTTTGAGGTAGAAGATTTCGAAAAAAAATTTCCTGCAACCCAAGGAGAAAGAAAAAAAAATCATGCAGCACACAATCGAGAAAAAAAAATATCATGCAAGAGAGAGCGCTCAAAAAGAAATTTTCTACATGTAATTCTACTGATGCTCTTCACTTCAGTATTGTGTCCACAGGCTCATTTGCTTAAAAGAACACGGGGTGAACAGTGGATAACATCACAGGGATTCTACCGCATTTGGAGCCTCTGACATACGATAGCCAGTGGTGTTCCCTGGCAAAATTGTTGCCCCGCTGAGAAAATCTGGGCTTAACATAATTATGTACAAGTTTATAAGTTATTTATACATATCTAATATGCATGGTAGAAAAAGAATTTTTGGATGGTTGAGTCTGTGTGCGTTTTTTGATAACATAGCTCCAAACTGATTAAAGCTTCAAAGGCCCATCTACAGGATGCAAGTTGAACGTACTGTATATACGATGATTTTAATGCGAAAATGCCAGTTTAGAGAGTCTAGATTTAAAAAAATTTCGATTCTGAAGAGGATGCAACCCGATCCCCAACAAGCTATCTGTATGAACGATTGAAAAGCTACAGAGCTAGCTATGTTTAGTGGAACATTGTTGTTTCGGAGGGTAGTTTAAAATTGCATTATTGAAATATTGTTTTATTACATATTAATCAAAGCTCGTTTTGTGATTTTCCCTTGTTTAAAATAAGGGACAGTAAGTGTTCCTTAGGCTTAGTACAGCAAAGTTGTTGGACGAATCCATGGCTGAAAACGCAGGAAATAGCATTTCCGAGGTTCAAATTTTAAAATTTTCTCGGGGAGCATGCCCCCGAACCCCCCAAGGTTACAGGTCATTCATATACTGTACCCTCCCCCATTTTCGAGTACTCTACTCTATCCCTGCATGTTTTAGGTTTTGGTGCAGTTATACATTCTTTGTAAGTAAACTTGCACACTTTAGTGTGGGTAACATTAAGACATAACCATATAAAATAAAGCACAGTGAAAATTCCTTGGCCCCTCTTGGGATTCAGTTCTCGGCCTCCTCTGACTGAAAACCCCTGCTACGTCTCCGATGATAGCTATATGAAAGCCTAAAGTTACTGTAAGCCGTTATTATGAGAGGCAAAAAAAAATATCCTGCGGCCAAATATATTGGGAAAAAATATCTTGCGCTGCACTTTTACAGGAAAAAAATATCTGTCTTGTTCGCCTGGGCGGAAAAAAAATTCTTGCACAGACTGAATCTCCCCCCCCCCCTCAAAAGTCAAATGGTCCTCCCCTAAAGGTTCTAGGATTGTCTGGATTGTAGACGTGTTCGAGAAGAATGTTTGAGCTTGTTTGTCCACGGGTTTTGGGTATACGGGTATTTTGAGTGTTTTATTATTAAGGTATTACGGTTTTTAATACAGTTAATAGACAAAAATTGGCAAACGTTTGTTTGTACCAAATTCACAACTTATTTATAGGCTCCCACGCATAGAATTGAACAAATGTAACTAAGCTTTAGAATTAGTGACATGAGTGAATATAACTTATTGACATAATTCAACTGGTTAGACCATAGACTGCCCAAAAGTGCGTGTTGTAATTTTTACCCTCGCGCGTGGCGCTCGGGCATGCATCGAGTCTACTCAGTTTATTATTATGACAAGGTTGGCAAGAGTTTTAACGGCAATTTATTACAACGTTTACTAGAGTATGAATATTTCGCAAATTACAAACAAAAACAATATAAAATCTACATCATTTCAAACACTGGTAATTTTACTACATTCTCTCAAAGTTTTAACTTCAAAAGTTCATTCTAACGATGTTAAAAAAGCGAATTATTTTCGGGTTTTTTTCCAAATTTTGTCAAAACTATGCTGGGGTCACGTACCCTGTGGTGATGTCATATTTTTTAAATCTTGAAGAAGCGCTGATTTGCTGTTGTACTGGAATCTAGATCAAAATTTTACTTAAAAGGGGAAAGGTCTATTGTCAAGCTCTAACCACAACTTTCAAAACGTGCACACGTGACCGAATGCTCAATAGCTGGGTTTCAGTCACGCCCAGTGAATTGTAATAACACTGGAACGCTAACTGCAGGTAAACATGCCCATACTTGCCCGAAGCCAAGATGGCGCTTCTCGCAAGCTCAGCGAGCAATAAATTAACTTTCAAAAGGACTGGGGAGAGTTTCGAGGAGCGGGAAATGCAGTCAAAAGTTTGTTTTTGAGCGAAAATCAGCAAGAAGAAAAGCACTTTTTTATCGAAAGTCTTCAACTTTAAAGATTCAAACCTGGTTTCCTGGATAGTTCTAAGTATTTTACATCCACTAACAGCAAAAACTTCCTGGGTAACAGCTTGATATTCAAAATATTACACAAGTTTGAACGTGCCGAAAAAAACTTCGCACTTTGACTCCTGAAAAAAGAACTTTATAACTGCTCTACGTTCTGGAAACATGTTTTGTATTAAATTTCAGGTATTGTTGAAAGTTTTTAGCTTTTTTCCTTGTTGAAATACAGCTATTTAGTGGTCGAAAACAGACATCTTTTAGGCGGCGTATTTTCCACTCCATACCTACATGGCGGCCATCATGAGTGGCTTCAAAGATGGCGGCCAAGTTATCGTTCCAGTTCTCTTAGAGTTCACTGGTCACGCCTAGCGCTTGGTGGTAAATTCCAAATGGAGACACATTTATCTGATCGAGTTAAATATTCATTAGAGAGGTTAAGATACCCCGATTCCGGTTTACGGGTACGGGTGATATACACGTACCCGTACCCGTAAATCGGGGAATAATTTGTAACTTAAGAAGTCCAAGATACTCTTGCGTGAGAAAACCGATCAGAGAATGGCAACTTTCGCTGTTGAGGTTCGCCATAAATTGTTGAATACTTTGACCAGCATATGTGCATTATTTATTTGCTTGGGTGAGATGTTAAAAATTTGTACTATTTAAACGGCCCAAAAATAGTAAACAGTAAACACCCGTACCCATTTGTCGTTTACGTGTAGACCTTGGTTTACCGCGGGGAAACGGGTAGAAATTACGGGTAAAATTGCTGACATCAGCCGAAAAATTGGTAAACAAAATAGCGATACTCGTACCCGTAAACCGGTACCGGGGTATCTTAACCTCTCTATTATAAGTATTGATCTTGTTTGGTATCAAATATATGCAATTTCACAAAATTTACTTGCTTCCAAAAGGCATAAAACGGCAATATGTGTAAAGTTGACTACCCGCAAGCGTTTCCAGTATTGTATAAAGGACCAGTCATTATTAATGCCGGGTAGGGGGTCGGAGGAAAGTGAGGGGGG